GAAGCTCTCAATTTACATTCAACCAAGACTCAGAATACGGATATATTTATGAATTGAAGGCAAAAGTCTAACTACCTAAATATTCCAAATGCTACAATTTAGGTTAAAAACACTAATTTCTGACAGGTAGTTTGTCTCAATTATACTGATTCAGTGAGTAGGCAAGTTCCATCCAAAATGGGAAGTATTTCCCTACTAGCCTGGCACTTCCAGTCAATTAACAGAAAAAGTATAAAGCCTAATGTAATTATTACGGCATTCTACACAGAAAAATGTAAGAGGTAGAGGGCAGGATGGGAAAAAAGAATAGAGGGGAGGAGAGTAAGGCAAGGTGTCTTGCTTAGATACCCTTATCACCCAGCAAGATAGTTCCAGAGGGATAAAAGGCAAGCAAACTGGTTTTAGACTTTGGTATAATTTCACTGCAGTTCCCAACTAACCAACCATACTAGTTCAAAAAAAAGAGAAAACAAAAAAAATCTCATAAAGATCACTTCAACCGGCCAGGTGTAGAGGTGGTGCATGCACCCTGTAATCCCAGTACTCTGGAGGCTGAGGCAGGAACTGTGAGTTCAAGACCAAACTGGGCTTACATACATATATATATACATACATATATATTCATACATATATATTCAAGACCAGTCTGAACTATGTAGTGAGACCATCTCAAAAAAAAAAAAATTCAATTAATCAATTCTGCCTGTGGAGGCTATAATCAGAGTTGCTTTTTGAGGGGGCATGGTGGCCCATGCCTGTAATCCCAGCACTCAGGAGCTTGAGGCAGGCAGGAGTTCAAGGCCATCCTGGGCTACACAGTGAGTTCCAGGTCAGCCTGAAATGCACAGCAAGACCTTGCCTCAAAAAAACCAAACCAAAACAAAACAAAAATAACCTTAGTTGTTTTTAGAAACTTAAAAATCTGGATAGTCAGACCCTTCTGACAAATACATATCATCCATCCAAAATACGAAAAGACCAAGCTTCAGGAAGGAGCAAGACAGTTGACAGATACCAATGAGCAGAGATGGTTTCAAAACATTGGACATACTGGCTGTCTAGTTAATAAGTTATCAATTTTTAAACTTGCATGCTTATAGAAATGGTAAGACATTTGTGAAACCAGAAAAATATAACTTCGTTGAGCAAGACCTGCTCATTGGATTAATCAAATTCATTTCTGGTTTTTAATACAGGCCAAAATTTAGCTCTTTAGTTCCTAAGAACAGACAACAAAACAAGTCTAAATTAAGTAGATCCCATTACACTGTATTTAATATTTTAAAAATAACTTCAGTTTTGAAGTGCTTTACAGCTCTCCTCAGTAATTTTATTACAATACTTGTATTACTTAAACATTTTAATAATTAGAAGCTTGCAGACTGTATTCCTTAACCAGACATCCAGACACTGAGCCAGATACATTTTCCAAAATAGGTTCCATTTTTACCAGCGGTAAGGACAAGAACAAGTTTTCACAAGAGTATCACTATCTGCTTACTTTCTGTTCTGCTTTATTTCAGAAAATGATTTTACGGTCCATAAAACATTTATCAGAAGCATACCCTTTACGGAAATACTACTTAGCATAGTATTTTAACCAAAATACTGTTGCCAAAGTTCTTTAAACTTGCTTGTTAAATGTTGAGTTCAACTGCAATTATACCAAATACAGTAGTATAAAAAAGAAATATACTTAGTTCTCTACTTGAAAACCACTGGAAGGTATCTTTATTTAAAAAGAAGTATTCACAAGATCCTTGTAATTTAGCAACTCACTCTAACATGGTATAAGTTAATTGCGTTTTGTTTTCATACAACTTTTTGGAAAATCTGTTACTATCAGTAAAACAGTGTTGTGTGGGTCATTAATTACAAAGCCCCTCTCCAGTGCCCAACTAAATGTCTGCTTAAAATCCTTTAGGATTTTAAGAATATGTTTGGTCTTTATCATTAAGCAGAAAAAATAACTTAAAACAACTCCAGAGTTGTCTCTAGTCTGAGTGTAGACACTTCCAGGAGGTTAAGAAATATTAGGATCTATCAGTAATGTTAATTCTGATTACAGCAGTGTGACATTTATCAGTGTGTATAAGTAATGTAGAGGGCAGGCAGAGACTGGCATATCGTAGTCCCAGGTGGAAAGAAGTCCGTTTTCTCCAGAGTCAGCTATACATTTAACAATTTCAAACACATAAGATTACCTAAGACTGTGAAACAAAGAGTCTAAAGTTCAGCTTTAAGTAAAAATGCATAAAAAGTAAAAATTTTTTTGCAAAGACTAAGGAGAGGTCTGCCTCACTAGTTAGTAAAATTTCACTAACTGAAACAGAAGATACTGGTGTAGAAATAGATTTATAAAATGGTACTGGAAGACTTGGAATATACCCAAGTACAAAGAAGAATTTTATAATAAAAAGAGTAGTTTCAAAACAGTGGGATAATCAGGTTATCATCTGATTCATAATTTTGGGACAGGTGGCTATTAAACTAAAATTAGGGCTCTAGATCTCATTATATACCAAAAATATTGGGCATGTTAAAGAATAAAATGCAAAACAAAAACAAAAAACCCCTTAGTACTAAAAGGAAACAGACTTAATACATATAATAATTAGGAGTGGGAATAAAAATTATTACAACAAAGTGGGAAAAACATAAAGAAAAAAAGACTTGCCTACCTGAAACATACTTTTCTCCATGTTAAATATATGGGCAAAGTTGAAAGACAATAAAACAAACTAGAGGAAACACATACACACACACACACACACACACACACTCTGCAACATATGACAGGCAACAAAGGAATTAGCTTTATATTAAAAACAACTTAGCAATAGATTGCAGCGCAGACAAAAGATGTGTATACAGTTTAAAAGCAAATGTAAGTAGCACATAAAATATGGAAAAGTGTTCAACATTACAAGTAAGTACTCCATTAAAAAAAATGAAACGCCTGAGAGTAAGGGAAATGGGGACCCTCATACAATGTTATGAGTACAATGTTAACATTTTTACAGGGCAGTATGTATCAGAGTTTGAAAGGTACACCACTTTTGGTCCAATAATTCCTCCTTCAGAAACGGAAACTTTGAGATACTTCTCAAAGATCTATGTATCAATTCATCACAAGGGCTTAGGGATGTCAGTGGTGGAGCTCTTGCCTAGCACTCAGGAGGCCCAGGGTTTGATGGGAGGGGGGGAGTTAGTTCATTGCAGTGGTGTGTGATAAACTGGAAAAAACTGAAATGCGTATCAGTAACAACGAATATTAGTACCTCATGAACTAAGACACTGTACATCTACCAAAAGCGACAAAGGTGATATACACTTTTTGACCTGAAAAACAAACAGCCGTGACATTCTGCCTGGCAGCTACCCGTGAGGAGCTGCCTTGCTTGTCTTACTTCTCTCATCTAGCACCTGGAACAGTGCCTTGTACAAAACTGTTTTCCAGCAACCATTTATTACACAGACGATTTTAAAAGCCGGTTACAAAACAATAATCATAACATGATCCTTTACCTCTCTCCCTCCTGCCCTCTTCTCTCTCCCTCACACACGCTCCCCACACAGAGAAAAGTATAGCTGGGAGGAGAGTAACAGAAAGGTTATCAGGGTGATGTTGTTTTGGGGTGTACATTTTACCTTTCTTTTTTGTTCCTCTTTGTATTTTCTAAGTTGCTTTCATAGTAAGCTCTCTTTTTTTAGGTTAGACTGGAAAAAGTATTAAAAAATTTAAAGAACACACATATTTAAAAGGAACTCCAGACTGTGTTCAGCAGCTAAAGCTCAAAAACTCAAAAACACTTAGATGCACGACACTGAAAAGTGGCACGTTCTTTCACTTTCAGAGAAAAACACTATCTACAGGCACCATCTTCCTTCAGTACGAAGCCCCACACTATATTAATAAAGTCCAATATTTTAAAAAAGGAAAAACACACTTTTTACGTAGCAAAAAACCCCCAACTGACTCATTTCTTAAAAATCAGCCCCTCTTTCAACATACACCCACCCTATTCCAGTTGCTAAAACCTGTTCCATTTTTATTTTTTTCAGGCTACGAAACCAAGTGAATCTACACCAGTAATGTGCTCTACCACAATCCTTCCATTTATTGACACAGGCAGACTTCATTTCAAAGACACTTAATCGAAGCATTAAAACTAGCCACATGCGCTACACCTCTCTCTTCATCACTATCTGGAATAAAATTATTTGGATTTTTTTCATCGCTGTCTTCCTTCTAGAACGTAAGCTCCTTGAGGACAGGAATTCTGTCCTGCTCACCTCGGTGTCACCAGCTCAAGAACAACGACTGGCATCTAGTAGGCCTGAAGAAGTATTTGTTCAATGACGAAAAGATGCGGAGGGGAAGGATAAAAAAATCTTAACAAAACAATAAACGAGGCACTGAGAGATCAAAAGAAAACCATCCTGAAATGTACACAGTAACCTGTCTCAAACCTATGATGCCAGCTCAGGGTTTTGGTGGACATTTTTCAAGATGGACAGGTGCTTTACACCTATCGAAACACACAGAGCTCTTCCGGAAGAAAATCTACAGGGAGGTCTTTCCAGGTAGCTGGTAAGCAGCGCCCAGAAGAGTGGAAACCGTCATCACTGTATCAGAAATGTGGCCCTTGCCGACAGAAAAAAGGAATACACCATACATCTTGGCCCAGATGAAAAGCCACACGAATCCCCAGTACAATCAACCAAGCAAGCAGCCTTCCGCCTGACACGTACGAGCAGCCTCCTTCCCCCCGCTGTGCAGTCGCTTGCAAACCAGCAACCTCTTCCCCGGTCACTCGTCGCTCCTAAGGACCCTCCACCCCCGCCCGAGCCTGTCCAAGGGGACCGGGGATGGGGGACACCGTCTGAGCCTCACCTTGCTCCACCCCACCCGGCCCGGTCCCCTCCAGGCGCAGAAGCCTCCCGGCCTCGCGGTGCCCGGGATGTCGCCCCTCGCCCCCCGGCAGCCCCTCACTCACGTGTAGATGATGGCCATGAAATGCATCAGCCACAACACCAAGAAGAGGACCAACCCGAACACGGCCATTCCCTGCTGGGCCAGGTCCTGCAGCGCCATCCCCGGCCCGGCCCACTCCGGCCGCCGCCGCGGACAGCGTTCCCGCCCGAGGAGCGCGGGTGGGCGCCCGGTGCGGG